ATTTTGGTTGTATAATGCCTATGTTCCCAAAGGAGAAGCTAGTTGCTATTCTGATTACTAAGATGAGGCATGTCACAGACAAGATTCTGTAAAGAAAATGTAGTTTTATAAGGAAATAAACGCTAGCTGTTAAGTATTACAAGTCCTGCAATAACTATTTTGATCCCCAATTCCTGCATGGATCTCCCCGTTGTAGATTGGTTACTCATCCCAAAGATATTTAAATCATGTTCATGTATGGCAATAACAGACTTTCTTACAAACCCAGTTACAGTTTGGGAGATGTGTTTGAAAACAGTTAACCAATATCATGTGATACTTGCGGACCAATGATATTACCGATCAATCTGTGCAATTAACAAATCTTTTATTCCACTTTATATACATATCTCTATCACTCATTTCACACATACAGCATTTTATCAATGTTTGCATTTTCACATATAATTAAGCATTCTTTCTTACAAACAACTATGTAGAACTACTCTGTCCAGACAGAATGATTGGTGCAAAACTCAAGTCTCTAGAACAGAAATTACAACCTTTATTCATGAGGGACAATTCTTCCATGATTCCAAGTTTCGTAAAATTACCATGGACTGCTGTCCGTGTACAACAATAGCAAGGAGAGACAACAGAAGCTGACGCAACCACGGACTCCCCATGGAGTGTCTGTCCAGTACCTCCAGCATCAGCTGGGCGGTGGGTAGCCTAGTGGTTAAAGCTGCTGGCGTCGCCGCATCATAGACCCGGGTTTGAATCCCACATGGGTACAATGTGTGAAGCCTATTTCTGGTGTCCCCCGCCGTGATGTTGCTGGAATATTGCTAAAAGCGCGTGAAACCAAACTCAGTCAGTCAGTCAGTCCAGCATCACCTGGGTGGGGAATGGCAACTGATTGGACACTTCTCATTAGTAACACTATTCTGTTTTCCTCATTATCCGCCCATCGGAACACATGCAAACATTAGACGCTGGACAAATTGTCAGCCAGAATAGCGCTCAATTTGAAAATAACGTAAATCGCTCACCAACGCTTAAAACAGTTGTCGCACTAATGCCTTCACGCGCCACTGAAAATAACGTGAAATTGTTCACTTCAACGCTTAAAACAGTTGTCGCTGAATGGCGCTTCACTGCCGGATTAACGTGAAATTGTTCACTAACGCTTAAAACAGTTGTCGCGATAACGAATTGCTAACGCTTCACCATGACAATCATACCATTTGTTTTCAAAAGCTTACATCTAAAAAACGATATGTTATAATCTTTTTGAAAGTTTGTATATAATCAAAACATGCATTTATTTTTAAATGGTACATTTGTTTATTTTGTTTGTTTGGTTTTATAATAATTGTATATAATTTTGTTTTACATTTTGCTATTTTTTAGAAGGGATGTTATCTAAAAGTGGCCCATTTATTCCTCATAGATCATATTAAGAGCTATAAATATACACTTTGATAAACACAATGTCCCATTCAGAAATGTGAGCAATAACTCATGGTTTTAGTGTAGGTATATCCTCCATTACATCTCCATGTTCATGATATTAGCCAATCATTGTCCTCAAAACTGAAGTAACTGGTAGATATAGTGACACAGGGACTAAAGAGAAGTGATAATCTGTAACTTTATGTGGACAGTGAAAGGTCACTTTACACACTGTTGTGTCAAGTAAATGTTTTGAGAACATAACCCCACTGGAATTTTAACTAGTCCTCGTTTACTTTATCAGCTAGTTTAACACTGAGGCTAACTCAGTGCTAAGTTTTAAAAATTATCTGCAGTTCTAGACAATCTGCATCATTCTGATACAGCAGTCTTAGAGCCAGGTGTTCTCAGCACCGCTGGCTTGGGCCCATGGATCTATGCTGCTCCAGCTAGACAAGGCACCATGTATATTTCCCCAGTGTCAATGTACATTTTACAGCCGTCCATGTATACTAGCTGACGTCCATGTTCATTTAACAAACGTCCATGTATATTTCACAAATGTCCATGTACATTAGCTGTGGTCCATGTACATTTCACAAATGTCCATGTACATTAGCTGCAGTCCATGTATATTTCACAAATGTCCATGTACTTTAACTGACGACCATGTATATTTCATAATGATCTGGGTACATTTCAAAACGGTTCATGTACATTTGGCTGATGTGCAGTTAGCAACGTGCAGTTCAGGACCAGGTCTTACACTGTAGACAGACAGCACAAGCTCATAAACCTACCAGCTGACAACCTGAAAGTCTTCACCTCACAAATTGCATTCTAAATGATAGTCACCACAAGCTCGTTTCTCACCACCTTCAGAATTAGCTGACATGATGGACTGACAAGCAGAAAGATGCAGTCATGTTTGTTTCAGGGTGAAGAAAATGTCTGTCAGTCACTCCAGTCTGTTAATTACAGGACAAATGCCTGAAAACCCCATTAGGCCCAAACCCTTGGTTCCTTCTAGTCAAGAAATGTGGGCATGTTTGAAGATAGTAAACGTGAGCCACATGCAGACAGAATGCGGAACTCAACTTACAGAGTGACGTTAGTCTCACAACTATGGCTTCAAGATCTCACACTATGAATCACAAGAGCGGAATATTTGCATGAAACTTAATCACATGCCTGAAAGGCAATACGATAACAAGTAAGAAAATCTAGCTACATCAGCTTCAGAAAGAACAATCAGGGAAATAATGTGAAATACAAGATTAGTTCTGCAAGAAAGACATGCTTCATGAATACTGAAAACAGATTGATAAAGATAAACTGTTGTGCAAGAACTACACGAAATTGTTTTGCCATTGTAACTGCTTTGTAACCTTCTACAATATCTAAGTTTTCACCCAGGCAATCGGTATTACTGACAATGTAAATAACTCTTAACACTCATTTTACGCAAGATTTTACAATTTTCAGATTTTGTTTTAAGCTAACCTATTTAGCATGAATTATACATATAGAACAAATTACTACCAAAAACAGCGACAATCCTGATTGAGTCATATTTGGTCTAATTGATTTGTTTAACTGTATATCTACTATTTTAACCAGTCACTAACTAAGAAGTCGTGGCAGTTTAACAATCCACAAAAAAGCCACAAAAATGTTCTCACCTTTCAAACTGTGCAGCAGCCAGCCTACTCAGCTTTCATTGATGCACACGCATGTATGCAACAGATATGCTCACACATCTCTTACGCATGTTAGCACAGGACTATGCATGTCTGGTGTGCAGGGATGTCTGGATGTGCATGTGGCGCGAGAGCATGCATACCCCGTCCGGGCAGCAGGGCGGACATACATGAGCACACAGTGCATGTCATAAGGAAAGGAGATAGGACGTGATGAGTATTGGGCGTACACAACACAGATGAAGGAAACAGATGGGGGACAAACATTGTTGTGTTGTGCTATGATCACGTTTCTTCAGGAAACAGTAATAAGTCTACTTCAGCTGTGGCTATTTTGGTTGTATAATGCCTATGTTCCCAAAGGGAGAAGCTAGTTGCTATTCTGATTACTAAGATGAGGCATGTCACAGACAAGATTCTGTAAAGAAAATGTAGTTTTTATAAGGAAATAAAACGCTAGCTGTTAAGTATTACAAGTCCTGCAATAACTATTTTGATCCCCAATTCCTGCATGGATCTCCCCGTTGTAGATTGGTTACTCATCCCAAAGATATTTAAATCATGTTCATGTATGGCAATAACAGACTTTCTTACAAACCCAGTTACAGTTTGGGAGATGTGTTTGAAAACAGTTAACCAATATCATGTGATACTTGCGGACCAATGATATTGGCCGATCAATCTGTCCAATTAACAAATCTTTTATTCCACTTTATATACATATCTCTATCACTCATTTCCACACATACAGCATTTTATCAATGTTTGCATTTTCACATATAATTAAGCATTCTTTCTTACAAACAACTATGTAGAACTACTCTGTCCAGACAGAATGATTGGTGCAAAACTCAAGTCTCTAGAACAGAAATTACAACCTTTATTCATGAGGGACAATTCTTCCATGATTCCAAGTTTCGGTAAAATTACCATGGACTGCTGTCCGTGTACAACAATAGCAAGGAGAGACAACAGAAGCTGACGCAACCACGGACTCCCCATGGAGTGTCTGTCCAGTACCTCCAGCATCAGCTGGGCGGTGGGGTAGCCTAGTGGTTAAAGCGTTGGCTCGTCGCACCATAGACCCGGGTTTGAATCCCACATGGGTACAATGTGTGAAGCCTATTTCTGGTGTCCCCCGCCGTGATGTTGCTGGAATATTGCTAAAAGCGGCGTAAAACCAAACTCAGTCAGTCAGTCAGTCCAGCATCACCTGGGTGGGGAATGGCAACTGATTGGACACTTCTCATTAGTAACACTATTCTGTTTTCCTCATTATCCGGCCCATCGGAACACATGCAAACATTAGACGCTGGACAAATCACTTTGTTTATTGAAAGTAACTGGACCATTAGACAGTGTAAACTACCTTCACATCCATGTCTCCCATACTGACTGGGCAGCACATTCAGCTTGTCAACACTGATCAGTACGAGTCCATGGACTGTTATGTATGGGTTTGAAATGCTGCACAATGTGTGTACAGTTACCATTGCATATGTTGTTAAAGCATGCATCACAGTGCAACTACAATCAGTTAGTGAAAGTGTTCATGTAGTCTATCTCATATATGTCGTATATAATTCTGATAGTAACAAATAATCCCACTTAAATTGAAAAGGAGTTCCAGTGATTAGGGAGCTCCATAAGGGATTTAGCATTGCAGGAGGGCTAGGCAGTGGGGAAAATCAAGCGATTCAGGGAGCGTGAGAAAGACTAGTGTCCATGCTGTAATCTACAATGTGTGAATCTTGTCAATGTGTTTCAGCAGACAGGGCCCCCTACATCCACAAATGATCTTAGTGTATTGGCACAAAAAGCAATGATTATTAGTTTAAATAATAATTTCTAGATTATACAACATAATCTGAACAAATTGTCCCTATAACAATCTGGCGTCTAAGAAATTCTTTAGTTTTGCAGATTTTTGTTTTGTCTATTGCCAAATAATTTTCCCCCTAAAAGAACCATGATGGAGAACTCCTGTATTCTTGTAGGTGTTATGAGATCTTTATTTGGTGGAGGACTAATTACATCAATTATACCATCAGAATTACTGAATATTAGGCCAGTAAGGAACATTATCACTTGATGGTAAATCTCGGATATGGAAGGTTCCATATACCATCAAACAGCAGTACTTTCTACACTATATAACACTACTGACTATAGTAAACAGTTCTTAAAAAACCTGCAGTAATGAGGAAATGCGTTGTTATTTCCAAAGCTAAAATAACCGTCATTCCCTTGAGGCAGCGTGTGCATTCAGAACACACCTAACCCTGTACTGTAACATGTGGAGATATAGACACCAATGAGAGACTGCATAGCCTCTCCCATCCCTTCCTGACTGAAGAGTTCCATACATGCAGAAAGAGTTACCTACCCTTAATGTGCTACTTGAGGTGATTGTGTACTTTATCACTTACTTGTTCCCTACGGAATAATTCCAATTACATATCATAATGAACCTGTCAGTTTTATTTAATCAACAACAGACTCGCCATTCCCAAGTCTGGCAGCCAAATGTAAAAACTTAAAACAATAGTCATATGATCTGCATATTTGTTTAACATGCATCTGAACACTCAAAGTGTATGGGTCTCTGAAGAAATTAGACTTCTGTCCAGAATTGGATGTCTGAAGATGTGTAATTAAATTGCTGGCAAACAACTTCTTAAGGAGCAGACAAGCAACAGGGAGCCATAATCAATTATATTCAAAGATGAATTACAGCTTTAAACATTCCCAACAGATATGTTTCTAATTAACGTTTCTTTCCACAAACACGCTTCAAACTGATGCAATTAAACGTTTGCCTGTTCAGATTTTTCTTTCATTAAACATCATAATATAATTAAGTTCCCTGCATTTTGAGTAGTCATGGATGAAACAAATTAGTTGTACCGCCAATGGTACAAATCTTAAAGACATCTTGTTGTAGTGGAAGCGTCAGTATCCACTGATGGTTGGCGGTTGGCCAATCAGGACATCAACCAGTAATATTGCCGTGAACCTATCTGACATTCAGACAACCATGCACTCAAGGAATCAGTTATCATTGTATGCCAGTAACTGGATACATATCACTAATTAATCAATTTTCTGTTATTACAAATACATTTTTTAAATCATATTTCTCATACATCAGAAAATAAATTGTCCGAAAATTACATCTGTCAAGCTAATCAGTGTTTTCTTGAATTGTTATAATCACTTTTACATTACTTCATTGTTTTTAACTGTCACTCGCACAGAATGTGTGTATTTAATTTGATTAACATTTCAACATTTTCATCATGCGCAACCTTCCAGCTCCACTATCACGGGTTTGTGTTTGTGGCAGCGATGTACCAAGAGTACGTCCTATTCCCTAGTTAGGTTGATTACAGACATTCACGCACTGACAGTAACTTGTAGCCCATCTTGACACTGATAATTACAGCTCCTTCAACTTGGCTGTCACAGCTAGCACCCCCTCCAAGCACATGGCCCCAAGGAAGAGCTGATGGTGATAAGTGAATAACCAGGCATGTTGCTTACCTCTGGGAATCGGTAAGTTCCAAATCGGCAGCTGAGAAACTGTCTGGAGATTGGTATCCAGTTGTAGACAAAAATTGAACTGTGTGATTATTCCTGTGACATCAATAACACTCAGGATAACTGAAACAGACCTGGTCCCTCTGTTTCTCCCGACCAGGAACTGAAGAGTGCACCACAACACTCGGGTCTCGCTCTCTCTCTCTGTCATGGGCAGAGCTAGACTTGCTGCATGTCTCTTCTCTGTAGAGAAGCAATAACACTCTGGACCGTCTCTCTCCTAACCAGGAACTGAAGAGTCATCTACACTGTTATTTCTCAATGTAATGTGGAAAGCTAGACTTACTGTATGTCTCTATTTGGACAGCCCTCCCTTTCCCCTCCCCCTCCCTTCTCTCACAATTGGTGGATTAGACCTACTTGGGGCCCTCAGGGGTTAGCAGTGTTGTAGAAACCCTCCCATTCATTAGGAAAATATGTTCTTATTTGGAGGTTAGAGGAGCACATATGAGGTCTCGAATATAACAAAACCAGTTGTTTTGTATGTTGATAAAATCTATTCACATTAAAGACATAAATCATTCTGTTAGGAGTAAACTGTCTTCTTGCAATAGATAAGATAAATGTTGCAGGTAAAATGTAATTATAGTGGCTGTAAACTTGTCCTGACTTTGGTCGTTATATGCACATATCATCATCAGCTGAGTGGCAACATCTTGACTTGGTAGATACAGAGAAACAGAGAGTCAGATTGTAGGTAGACTTACTATAGTCCTGCTTGCTGATTTATCTGTGTATAACCATGTTATACAACTCCTTCTAAGGAGATATAGGCCAGGAATGAGCTATGGTTTGTACAGCAGGCCTGTCTGACACCTGCTGATGACAATGTTCCAATGTGTACTCACACAATGTCCAACAGCACCAATTCACACTCTGGTTACAAAATACAAACAGGCCACCCTGTCGACAACAAGGCATAGCTAAAACTATCCGACAACGTTATTTGTCCAAAATGTTATATCTATATAATATTGACACACACACTACCTTTCAATATCATTTCATCTACAAGGCTAAAGAGAAGTAGTTGGAACTTAACACTCCCAGGCTTGAAGTGAATATATAGTCATTCTGGTCAATGGTCATAAGCCCCACCAACTGGGCATATATATGCCTTTTTAACCTAGTTTCAAGCTATGTCCAAATCACATTAAAATGGGCATCTGATTTTGTGGACAACTTGTATTTAACAGATAACGGATCTGTGTATACAGCAAACAATGCTGAAATGATAAGTCTTACATTTAAGTACTGACAGTGTATATTTTTCGATTCATACCTCAATGAACCAAAAATCAATACATAGTTAATCCTTATAAATAAATCTGACAGCAAAAAAATATGATATCTACAATAGTTTCATAAAAAAAATAAAAATAAATTAAAGTGGACAGAAATTATGAGACCGATGAACATTCCAGACGAAAGAAAACATACTGTGGCGTAACGTAAATCTTCAACATAAAATCCAATTTGGAAATTTAAACAAAAAATTTAAAATCCTTTTAAAATCTGGCTGCCATGGGCACTTAGTTTGAAATTGAATATCAGACATTTTAACCAATGTTAAATATAACAGGGTAAAGTTTCACAATATGTCCGTTTTACATGAAATCAATGACGAACATTTCCTTTGTGACAATGGCTTCCCTAAACAGGACGGAAGCCTGAAGCCATCACAGGGCTCCGACATTCTCAACATTAGCTGACATAACCATTTGATTCATCAAGCATCCACTAGTCATATTAAACATGTCATTTTTAACAGTGAATGAGTGAGTTTAGTTTTACGCTGCACACAGCAATATATTTAACAGTGAAATACTGCACTGTGCCTTCTCATAAGCATAGTTAGAAATGCATTATGTTCTTTTATGAATGAATCCGTAGTATTCCAAATGACAAACCAAATGCAGGAATCTTTCATAACAAAAATTAATTATCATAAAAATATATAATAAATATTATAAATTTCAATTTCTAAAAGTGATCTATCTAATAGTCCTTGAAATATCACAAGGAACATGGTTTGGTGACAACAGGAGGAGTCTCAGATCTTTGCCATAAGTAAAGTTATTCAACTGATAAACCCAAGAAGGGTGATCTGAACCCACCACCACTGGTTTCCAGCCATTGATCATGACCGTAGGGAGGCAACTCTTACAGTGAATGGCTTTGACAACTGGGCCCTACATTCCCCGATGAACTAATGAAACCAAATCAAAGTATCCAAGTACCCTGCAGTATCCATCAATGCAGTGATGGGGTCAAATATCCCTGCAGTTTGCCTCTGTCAACACGTTTATTGTAGTGTTCTTTAATCATAATCAATGATATCTTGAACTAGTTCCGCCTGAGGATGGTCGCATGGTCATTAAAGGAATTATTACTATAAATAGTTTGATTTGCATTAACTCTGACTGGAAAACAGTTCTCTGGCATCTAAATAGGAGCAGAAACATCCATTCAGCATCTCTACTCCCTCGTCATCTCCACCCAACCAGAAACCACGCTTGAAATTCACAGCATATTTGAATTTCACTGCAGCAAACTAGCAGCTCCGATTCCAATTCAAGCTGTGCTTATGGAACCACAAACTGCCCTGTTTTATCGCCATCTTTGAATAACACCAATGATGAAAGAATGTGATATCTTCATCAGACAAAGCTAATCCCTAACGTCCCATCTCCATCAACCAAATTATGATTGCCTGTGTGCCAACTTTCTGCAAGCATGCATCAAGTCGGTCAAAAGGTGGCCACCAGTCCTTGGCTATTACGTGAACAACTAATAAAAAGAGATGACAAAATAAAGCTTGCAAATAAGCTTTCATGAGTTGAAGAGAGGACATTTTTGTCTCTTGTGAGTCATTTCAGTCCAGATCAGAAGGAAATATCTCCCGACTGGATGCTCTATGAGTGCTAACTGATTTGCTGTCAATACAAGGATGAAATGATTAACGCATCAATGGTTGTCTCTGTCCATCCATTGCCTATCTAACCATGAAATTAATTTCCAACCTTCAATAAAACATGAATGGTTATCATGTGAACTTAATCGCTCCGGGTTATGCAACCTTGGAATGAACCCTATACCCAAAAGACATACTTATTGAATACCCAGGCACTTTGGTCAAGAGGGAAAAATAAGGTGGTTGCCACAGTAAGAGCATTCCTTAGTCACAAAGTTTTTTTCAATTAAATCCAGGAATTCCAATTTAAGGCAGCAATGGCGATCTCCCTGTTCTGGAGTCGGCAACTTGCACGAAATGACAA